CAACTTCTTTCTTGTCTACACTTGCAGAATAAAGAAATAGAAGAACTCACCAAGATTTGTGATGAACTGATTGCCAAAATGGGGAAGAGCTAACTCTGAACCGAATGTTTTGGACTTAACTGTTGCGTGCAATATGACCGTCGGCACACTGCTGTTCCTCCAGTTCCATGGACAGGTTCTGTGTTCACTTTTTCGTATGCACTACTGTATTTCCTTTCTAAATAAAGTTGATTTGATTGTATGCAGTACTAAGGAGACTATCAGAATTTCTTGCTATTGGTTTGCATTTTCCTAGTATAATTCATAGCAAGTTGACCTCAGAGTTCCTGTATCAGGGAGATTGTCTGATTCTCTAATAAAAGACACATTGCTGACCTTGGCCTTGCCCTTTGTACACAAGTTCCCAGGGTGAGCAGCTTTTGGATTTAATATGAACATGTACAGCGTGCATAGGGACTCTTGCCTTAAGGAGTGTAAACTTGATCTGCATTTGCTGATTTGTTTTTTAAAACACAAGAAATGCATGTTTCAAATAAAATTCTCTATTGTAAATAAATTTTTTTCTTTGGATCTTGGCAATAAATATGTCTCGAATTTATTTTCTGGGAAGGGTTGAGTCTTTTCTCACCTTTGTCAAATATCAGATTTGGCTTCGTGCTCTTCTCTGGGTTCATTTCTTTGTCCATAGACTTAAATAACATTTCCTTTCTTATCGTGGCTGCATTTGTAGGATGAAGCTAATGAGAAATACTGACTTGCTACTGAAATAACTAAGTGAATGCATTGGACTAGCTGAGATTTGGTTTTTACAAAACCTCTTTGACTTGAGGAAGCAAATCTATTTCCTTTTATTGAGTCAAGGAAGTAACAGAATGCCACTCTTTCTGTTCAATCCCTTGGTGTGTGAAGGTCAATCCTGAAACCCCCATTCCCATCTAAAGAAAGGATTGGGAAAGGGGTGAGCAATTGCCAATGGGCAGCAGGTAATTAGGCCACTTTGGAAATTAAACTAGCAGTGTGCCTGGCCTTAGATCGCTTCATTGCTGCTGACTTGCTCAGGGCTCCCAGGTTGAAGGCTGGGTGGATGAGGGGAGTTAGTGGGTAGAAAGGTGCGATCATCTCACCATCAGAGAAATGCAAATCAAAACCACAATGAGATACCATCTCACACCAGTTAGAATGGCAATCATTAAAAAGTCAGGAAACAACAGGTGCTGGAGAGGATGTGGAGAAATAGGAACACTTTTACATTGTTGGTGGGACTGTAAACTAGTTCAACCATTGGGGAAAACAGTGTGGCGATTCCTCAAGGATCTAGAACTAGAAATACCATTTGACCCAACCATCCCATTACTGGGTATATACCCAAAGGATTATAAATCATGCTGCTGTAAAGACACATGCACACGTATGTTTATTGCAGCACTATTCACGATAGCAAAGACTTGGAATCAACCGAAATGTCCATCAGTGACAGACTGGATTAAGAAAATGTGGCACATATACACCGTGGAATACTATGCAGCCATAAAAAGGATGAGTTCGTATCCTTTGTAGGGACATGGATGCAGCTGGAAACCATCATTCTCAGCAAACTATCGCAAGAACAGAAAACCAAACACCGCGTGTTCTCACTCATAGGTGGGACTTGAACAATGAGATCACTTGGACACAGGAAAGGAAACATCACACATCGGGGCCTATTGTGGGGAGGGGGGAGGGATAGCATTAGGAGATACACCTAATGTAAATGACGAGTTAATGGGTGCAGCACACCAACATGGCACATGGATACATATGTACCAAACCACGTTATGCACATGTACCCTAGAACTTATAATAAAAAAAAAAAATGCAATCATTTCCTAGGGCTGCCATTAACAAATCACTGCAAACATCTGCAGCTTCAAACAGCAAAATTTATTCTCAGTTCTGGAAGCCAGAAGCCCAAAATCAAAGTGTCAGTGGGGTTAGTTCCCCCCAAGAGGCTCTGTGGGAATCTGTCCCATTCCTCTTCCAGCAACTGGTGGCTGCTGGCTCTCCTTGGTGTCCCTTGGTGTGTAGCTGCAGCACCTCAATCTCCGCCTCTGTCTTCACGTGACCTTCTTGCTGTGTTTGAGATTTCCCTCCTTTCTTATAAGAACACCAGCATTGGATTTAGGCCATCCCCAATCAAAGATGATCTCATCTCAAGATCCTCAGTTACATCTGCAAAGACCTTGTTTCCAAATAAGATCGTATTCACAGGTAGGAGGGATTAGGATGTAGACATGTCTTTTCGGTTCCATGTGTGTCAATGGGATGTGTGGTGTGGGCTGTAAACTTGGAAGGCAGACGAGAGCCCCTGATGGCCCAGAGCTCGACTGTCTCTCTGCCTCGGCACGGTGGCTACAGGCTACTCCTCTCACAGTAGGACAACCCCCACCCATAACAGGACAGGCCTTAGGCAGCCTCAGCTTTTTGGGGACAGGGTGGGGAGTGTTTTCTGTGATTTACAAGGTGGATGAAGTTCGGCTGTGTCAGACAGCTCCAAGGAGAGAGGACCGCACACGTGCTGTTGGCCTGGCAGGCTGCTCTGGGGGTGGGGGGGTGCATGGTGTCTTTTGTGCTCTGAGGTCCTTTGTTTTCTTTCTGCTACACTTTCCCAATCCATCCAGCAGAGCCTGCCTCTGGTGCCACTGAGACCCTCACCTGCCAGGCACCCTAAGCCAAGGCAGCGGACTACCTCTTTCCCACTGCCAGCATCCTTTGCTTGGTCCAGCCTCCTGGTCACAGCATGTTCCAGGGCCCAGCCAGGACCCCTTACCCAGGTACTCGCTTCTCTAGGCCAAACCCCTGCTCTGGCCTCACTCCAGATTCTGACCTCGACTACATTCTCAGAAATGCCCAGCTTATATCTCTTGGAAACTTACTTCTCATTAAGTAAAACATTTCCATTGTGAAAAAGATTAGAAAACAGGTAAGAAAAAAACCTTATAGCCCCCAAACCAAGAAACTGTTAATGTTTGTACATTTTATGGCCTTTTTCTCCATCTATAAAATATTTGTTGTTTGCATTTTTTTTTTTTTTTTTTTTTTTTGAGACGGAGTCTTGCTCTGTCGCCCAGGCTGGAGTGCAGTGGTGCGATCTCAGCTCACTGCAAGCTCCGCCTCCCGGGTTCACACCAACCTCCCGTCTCAGCCTCCCAAGTAGCTGGGACTACAGGTGCCCAACATCATGCCTGGCTAATTTTTTTGTATTTTTAGTAGAGACGGGGTTTCACTGTGTTAGCCAGGATGGTGTCGATGTCCTGACCTCGTGATCTGCCCGCCTTGGCCTCCCAAAGTGCTGGGATTACAGGCGTGAGCCACCGCGCCCGGCCTGTTTGTATTTTTAGAAGTGCCACCCAGTATCATCCTGTGCAGCCACCTGTGGTGATCCTGCGTACAGTTTTGGAAACTTTTTTTCACCTAATACTGTAATGTGACCATCATGTTATGGTAAACTTTTTATATCAATAAATAGAGTTCTTCATCATTTTGAAGGCTGCATAGCATTCCATGTCCCAAAATGTGTTTAACCAACCCTCCCCCCCGTACTGATGAGCATTTATATTGTGTCCATGTTTTTGTATCATTATGCATGCCACATCAGTGTCCTTACATATATTTGTGAATGTAAGTATTCTTTAGGTCAAATTCCTAAGAGTGGATCACCTGGGTTAAAGATGTCACTGCACTCCAGCCAGAGACCACTGGGACCAGTGGCTGAGCAAGTTGGGTTTATTGCTCGTTACAAAAGTGAGCCAGGCACACGCCAGAGGAAGCCCTGAGCATCTCAGTTGGAGGGTCTTCGGAAGGCTGCAGGCAAAGGATTCGGACTTGGGTTAGTCACTCCAGGGAGGATTTTAGGAAGCTAGGCTTTGGTCTGGCAATTCTAAGACTAGGTGCCTCGATAAATCTGACCTACAAGAAGAGAGGACTAGAGGAAGAGAAAGCTGCAAGTGGTAGAGAAGCAACAGTCATGCATATTAGCCAGAATTGAGAGAGAGTTGGTCCTTTTTTGTGGTTTGGATGATGTCCAGTGTGGCTGCAGACATTTGCGGAGTGGGCTGGTTTTTGTTTTTGAATTCACTGCAGTCCAAGTGGCCTGTGTGGTGCTGATGTTTTGTGAAATGGTTTACGGCCTCAGCCCAGCTCTGAGTGCCAGGTCAGCCCCTGGATACCAGGGGCCGCTTTTCTCTTTCTCAAAGGGTTTGCACATTTTTAAGTTTGGGAAGCTCATTGCCAAATAGCCTTCCTCTAAGGTTGTACTGATAGGTGGCCCTTTCCCTCCCCTCTCAGTAGTCTGTACATTTTGGGGTGTGTGATCCAGCCCCTGGGCTGCACTCTTTCTGCCTGTCAGCCCAGCCTAGCGAGGAGGAGGGAAGAGACATCCAGAATAGTAGTTGGAGTAAATAGTATAACTATGAGAAAATGTTTATTGTTTTCCCTCCATGCTGTGATTCCACTTGTTCTCAACTAATTTGTTGTGCTGTCTACAAACCTCCAGTGAAAGAACATTTCTATTTGCTGTTACAGGTAAGTGTCTGAACTGAACAGACCCTGCCTGGCTGCCATCAAAATTACAGTGCCCAGAGCAGATCAACTCAGGGAAGCAGTCACTTCCCCTGCAGAATCGTGTCTTAACAGAGCTTATGTCTCTCTGGATAAGAGTGACTCAGGCTGAGAAGCGAGTGGCCCCAGAATATAATGGATCATTCCTGTAGCTGGAGACTGATGTCATGGGTCTGACAATGCCCATTCTGTGCAACTACTAAGAAGGTTAGAGAAGATGATCCCAGCTGCTGGGTACATGGTAAAGCTTAATCAATGGCGGAGATGATCATGGCAATGAAGATAATAGGGACTTGGCAAAGAAGTGGTAAGGGCCTTTGTGGCCTGGGACTCCGGAGAAGTAGGCCAGCTCTCTTGGCCCCGAAGGGTTTGGCCAGGCCTGCCTCATGTCCTGGGGGCAGGGGCCAAGCTATAGATTCCTCCATCGGGAGAGGGGGTTTGCCTCAGTCCTCCTCCTACCCAGGGGCTGCATGTAGGTGCCTTTGTGGATGGAAACGTGGAGGTTGGATCAGGCGTGCACTGTGTGCAATTATAGCCCACACAAACGAATGGAAAACTAAATCCCAGAATCCCAGGCTTGGCCTCGGGCCCACCTCCATGCTTGGCTGCCTCGCTGCCCCAGCATCACTCAGGCTGCGGCTCCGTTCCTGGGATGCTCCAGGAAGTGGCGTGCATCAGCTCACCCGTCTTGTTAGCACGCTTTGCAGGGGGCCCGAGCCGTGTGTGTTTCTATTCAACTGGTTTCTCTTTTGAAACCCTAAAGGGCTGTGTCAAGGTGCGCAGGGATATGAGATGGGGGAGGCCCCCACGAGAGAGGGCTGGGGTGATGACTGCGCCCTCTTCGCCACTCCCCCGTGGGCGATCGGACTGGAAGGTGGAGAGGAAAGCTCACCGCAGAGGCTGCACCAGCCCCTGGTGAAGGATTGGGCTGCAGGATCTCAGTTCCGCCACCTTCTAACTGTGACCGGGATAGGTCACGCTGTCTCTGGGCCCACGGTGAGGATTCCTACTTAACCTCAAGGCCATTGTGAGGTGTGTCTGGCCCCCGGACCCACATGGGCTCAGATGAGTCGCTTTCCCCCCGCCCCCCGCACTTATTTTCTCTCATGCACGTGTTCACCCTCGGGATGGCAGCTGAGAACTGTTTATATTATTTTGCTTTGCTGAGTGGGAGCTCAAGGGCAGGCACCTGACCCCATTCGAGGCTTCCCCCTCCCCGCCGTGCCCCAGCAGCTTTGGGATTCTCAGCATTCTTAGGAACTTTGGTTTGCTAAGTCAGCTGAAATCTTGAGCTTCTAACTTTTTTTTTCCTGGCTCAGCATTTCCTCGGGGCTCTCAAATTAAAGGTAGCTTAGTTGTGATACGAAGATTACCTTGATTACCTTGTGAGGACAGGGAGTGGGTATGAGTGGAGAGGGAGCTAGGAAAGACGGGGGAGGGCACTGAGGACGGCAGGGCCGGGACCAGGGGATCTTGGGGATTCCTTTTCTCAGCCCCTTGGGTGTAAGATCTGAGGGGCCCAAGGGCCACGCCAGGGAACATCCCCCTGTAGACACCTCCCCATTCCAGGCTGCTGACCTGAGAGAGAGAAGCCATCAGTGCTGTGCATGGGACAGGCGAGGGAGGCGACGGGGACAGCAAGAACTGCCTGGCTCGCTGGTAATTGCTCCTTTCATCTACTCCTTGGCCCTGGTAAGGTACTGAGGTTTCTTCCTCTTTTTTTTTTTTTTTTTTTTTTTAAATGTGAATTTCAACATTTCAAATTACTGTTTCTTCTAACATTGTCTCTTTTTTTTATTAAGGTTAAACATAAAATTTACCATCTTAACTGTTTTTAAGTGTACAGTACAGGATTAACTACATGATTTTTTTTTTTTTTTTTGAGAAAGGGTCTTGCTTTACCACTCTGGAGTGCAGTGGCACCATCAGGGCTCCCTGCAACCTCGACCTCCTGGGCTCAAGTGATCCTCCCACTTCAGCTTCCTGAGTAGCTGGGACTACAGGTCTGTGCCAAAATGTCGAGCTAAATCTTTTATTTTTTGTAGAGACAGGGTCTCGCTATGTTGCCTGGGCTGGCCTCAAACTCCTGGCCTCAAGCAATCCTCCCGCCTTGGCCTCCCAAAGTGGTGGGATTATAGGCATGAGCCACTGTACCTTACCCTAAGTGCACATTATCATGCAACAGATCTCTAGAACTTTATCATCTTACAAAGCCACAATTCTCTATGCATTGAACAACCCCCTTTTTCTCTCCCCACCACCAACCACCATTCTACTTTCTGCTTCTAACAGTTTGACTACACTAGATCCTTCACATTAAGTGGAATCAGACAATATTTATCATTTTGGGACTGACTTTATTTTGCTTAACAAAATGTCCTCAAGGTTCATCCATGTGGAAGCATATGACAGACTTTCCTTCTTTTTAAAGGCTGAATAGTATTCCATTGTATGTATACACTGTATTTTCTATATCCATTCATCCATCAGTGGACATTTGGGTTGCTTCTACTGCTTAGCTGTTATGAATAATGCTGCAATGAACATGAGAATGTAAATATCTCTTCAAGATCCCGGTTTCAGTACTTTTGGATGTATACCCAGAAGCAGGGTTGTTGGATTATCTGCTAGTTCTATTTTTAATTTTTTGAGGAACCTCCATACTGTTTTCCATAGCAACTGCACTATTTTTTATCCCCACCAAGAGTGCACAAGGATTCCAGTTTTTCAACATCCTCACCAACACTTATTCTCTGTTGGTTTGTTTTGATAGTGGCCACCCTAACAGGTGTGTGGTAATAGCTTATTGTAATTTGGATTTGTATTTTCCTGATGATTCAGGTTATTGAGCATCTTTTCACATGCTGCTTGGCCATTTGTATTTCTTTGGAGAAGTGTCTATCCAGGTCCTTTGCTGAGTTTAAAATCAGGTTATTTGTTTTGTTATTGTTAAGTCATAGGAGTTCTTTATATATTCTGGATATTAACTCCTAATCAGGAGTACATATCCTTATTAAAAGTTTGTTTGTAAATGTTTTCTGCCATTCTATGCATTACCTTTTTACCCTATTGGTTGTCTCTTTTGCAGTGCAAAAGTTTTAAAGTTTGATGTAGTGTCATTTGTCTGTTCTTGATTTTGTTATCTGTCCTTTTGGCATCACATCCAAGACATCATTGTCATTCAAATGTAATGAAGTTTTACGGTTTTTTGTTTTGTTTTGTTTTGTTTTTGAGTTGGAGTCTCACTTTTGTCACCCAGGCTGGAGTGCAGTGGCACGATCTTGGCTCACTGCAAGCTCTTCCTCCTGGGTTCAAGCAATTCTCCTACCTCAGCTTCCCAAGTAGCAGGGATTACAGGCACCTGCCACCATGCCTGGCTAATTTTTGTATTTTTATAGAGACGGAGTTTTGTCATGTTGGCCAGGCTGGTCTCAAACTCCTGACCTCAGGTGATCAGCCCACCTTGGCCTCTTAAAGTGCTGGGATTACAGACGTGAACCACTGTGCCTGGCCTGAAGTTTTTCCCAGCCTGAGCAACATAGCAAAACCTTGTCTCTAAAAAAAAATTTTAAATTATCAGGGTGTGGTGGTGTGCACATGTAGTCCTAGCAACTCAGGAGGCTGAAGCAGTAGGATTGCTTGAATCCAGGAGTTTGAGGCTGCAGTGAGTAATGATCACATCACTGTTCTCCAGCCTGAGTTACAGAGACCCTGTCTCAAAAAAAAAGACAAAAGGAAAGAAAAGTTTTTCCCTGTTTTTTCTAGGAGTTTCATAGTTTTCAGGTTTTATATATTTAGGTTTTTAATCCATTTTGAGTTAATTTTTGTATATAGTGTAAAGTAAGGGTCCAACTTCATTTTTGGCATGTAGATATCCAATTTTTCAAACACCATTTGTTTCTCCATTTTGTAGCCTTGGCACCTTTGTTAAAGATGATTTGACCATATATGTGTAGTTTTATTTTGGGGCACTCTGTTCTGTTCCATTGACCTATATGTCTATCTTTATGCTAGTACCATACTGTTTTGATTACTATAGTTTTGTAATATGCTTTGAAATCAGGAAGGGTAAGGCCTCCAGTTTTGTTTTTCCTTCTCAAGATTGTTTTGGCTACTTGGAGTCCTTTGAGATACCATATGAATTTTAAGTTTCTTGTTTTTTTTTTGTTTTGTTTTTTGTTTTTGAGACAGGGCCTTGCTCTGTTGCCCAGGCCAGAGTGCAGTGGCACGATCTTGGCTCACTGCAAGCTCCGCCTCCTGGGTTCACACCATTCTGCCTCAGCCTCCTGAGTAGCTGGAACTACAGGTGCCCGCCACCAAGCCCAGCTAATTTTTTGTGTTTTTAGTAGAGATGGGGTTTCACTGTGTTAGCCGGGATGGATGGTCTCGATCTCCTGACTTTGTGATCTGCCCGCCTCGGCCTCCCAAAGTGCTGGGATTACAGGCGTGAGCCACCGCGCCTGGCCTGATTCTTTTTTTCTATTTCTGCAAAATATGCCTTTGGGATTTTGATAGGATTGCATTAAATCTGCAGGTAACTTTTAATGTTATTAAGTTTTCGAATCCATGAAGTGGGTTTTCTTTCCATTTATTTTTGTCTTCTTTAAATTCTCTCAGCAATGTTTTGGAGTATTTAGTGTACAAGTCTTTCTCTTTGGTTAAGTTTATTTTGATGCCATCATAGGTGGGATTGTTGTCTTAGTTTTCTATTTAATTGTTCACTGTTATTGCATGGAAATGCAACTGGTTTTTTTGTGTTGATTTTGTAGCCTGCAACTTTACTGAATTCATTTATTAGTTCTATCAGCATCTTTGGAATCTTTAGTTTTCTAAATATAAGTTCATGTTATCTATGAACAGAGATAATTATACTTCCTCCTTTTCAAGTTAGATGCCCTCAGTATCACAAATTATATCTTTTCATATTTTGTAACCATTAACATAGGTTTGGTTTTTTGCGGGGGGTGGGGAGTAGGAAGAGCTCTGTCACCCAGGCTGGAATGCAGTGGCATAATCTCATCTTTACCAATCAGTTCAGTCAGTGATTCTGAGGACCTCAGCCTCAACCTCTGGGGCTCAAGTGATCTTCCCACCTCAGCCTGCTGAGTAGCTGGGACCACAGGTGCATGCCATCATGCCTGGCTAATTTTGTTTGTTTGTTTTTTATAGAGATGAAATCTCACTATGTTGCTCAGGCTGGTCTCAAACTCCTGGGCTCAAGCAATCCTCCTGCCTTAGCCTCCCAAAGTGCTGGGTTTACAGGCATGAATCACCATGCCCAACATAACATAGTTTTCTAGTTATAGTTATTTTTAAGCTTTTTATCTTCTAAATTCTGTACAAGAATTAAGTGATTTACACAACAATTACAGTATTACAGGATTCTGAATTTGTATATGTATTTAGTTTTACTAGAGAGCTTTCTATTCTTATTTGTTTTCATATTATCTATTGTTTTTTCATTTTAACTTGAAAACTCCCCTTAGCAATTCTTGTAAGACAAGTCTAGTAGTGATGAACTTCTTCAGTTTTGGTTTATCTAGGAAGGTCTTTATTTCACCTTCATTTTTGAAAAAAAGAAAAAGTTTTGTCAGATATGGTTTTCTTGGTTGGCAGTTTTCTTCTTTCAGCACTTTGAATATATCATTCCACTCCCTTCTAGCCTATAATGTTTCTGCTGAGAAATCTGTGAAAATCTTATAATTGCTCTCTTGTATATTATGAGTTGCTTTTCTTTTGTTGTTCCATGATTCTTTCTTTGTCTTTTAGTTTTAACAGTTTGATTTTGATATATCTTTGTGTGAGCCTCTTTGGGTTTAGTCTAGTTGGAATCCTGTAAGCTTCTTGAATGTGGATGTCCATTTTCTTCCTCGGATTTGTGAAGTTTTCAGTTACTATTTCTTCAAATAAGCTCTCTTCCCTTTTCTCTCTTCTCTTTCCGAAGCTCTTGTAATATGTGTATTGGTCTGCTTGATGGGGTACATGGGTCTCTTAGATTTTCTTTACTTTTCTTCATTGCTTCTTCCCCCCCACCCGACTTGATAATTTCAAATAACATCTCTTCAAGTTCCCCTGATTCTTACTTTTGTTTGATCAAGTATGCTGTTGAATCCCTCTACTGATTTTTTAAAATTTCAGTTATTGTATTCTTCAGTTCCAGAATTTCATTTTGTTTTTTTTTTAAGTTTCTATTTCTTTGCTATTTTTGTTTTGTTTATACATTATTTTCGTGATTTTGTTCAGTTGTCTCTTTTTGTTCTCTTGTAGCACACTGAGCTTCTTTAAGATGATTATATTTATTTCCTTGTCAGGTAACTCATAGATCTCCATTTTTTAGGGGCAGTTTTTGGATTTATTTGATTGGATTTATTTGATTTATTTGCTTGGCATTTATTTGATTGGATTATGTTTTCCTGTTTCATGTGCTCTGAGTTTTTGTTTTTATTTTATTTTTTGCTGTGATTTGCTCATTTGAAAAACAACAATCACAGCAGTCTCTCCTCCCGTCTTTATAGACCAGCATCCTACAGGGAAAAACCTTTACCAATCAGTTCAGCCAGTGATTCTGAGGACCTCACAAACATTTTCTGAGGATGTGTCTTCTCTGGGTTTGTGTGTATAACTTCCCAAATAGAAAGGTTTGCTGGTTTATTTTTAGAAGCTTGTAGGCTCTTGTTCCTTCTAATGTCTGT